AGTCTCCTTTCGTTGTATAGAAGTTGTTTGACCTTGTTTTCGCAACTCGGTCATATTGGTAGGAAGAATTCTAAACAACTTCTATGCGATAGAAAGTTTGTCAAATTATAGACTTAACTTGTCTCTGACTATTTGTTGCTTGGCGTTTATACTGACAAAGCTCAATTTGTCGAACAGAATACTAAATGCAAACTATAAGCAATTCAATGAGAGATCTAGGCAAATAGATAAACATAAGTAGGTAAAATATAAATGCATTATTTCATTATTTTCTCCTAAGAAAAAAGCATGCTTTCATGCAATAATTGGTCAAAAGATCTATTTATACAGATAATCATAGTACTGCCTGCATTATCACCATCCGATAGTGGCTGTTCCCCAGGTTGAAGACCTCCCCCGGCTCTATAGGCTCGTAAGTCGAGATGCCAGTCAAGCGATGGACCAAGAGGACTGAGCTCTTTATTATCTGTGTAAATACGAGGACCAAGGTCAATCTCGACTTCCAGTTTGCGCGGAATCCAATCAGGGCCAAGAGTGAACTTTCCCATCTTGATAAAATGAAAAGCAATTAGAATGGAAGAAATTCATTGATGAGTATCAGAAACATGAAAAATATTGTTAAGTTGTTGCCGCAAGTTTTTTTTGCATTTATCAGAAACATTATAAAAAAATTCTCATAATATCACGAGTTAAATCTTTCTACTCAAACGTTAATTGAATAAAAATGAGTAAGACGCAACAATGTTGTCCTCCATTTAAGAAAACAATCAAATTATTGATGAGATTGAGTCTTGAAAGGAACTTAATAGGACTAGATGGCATGAAGTAATTTACGAAAGGATAGTAGAGCTTTTCCTGCAATTGTTTCAGCAGCAAATATTGATAAATCTTAAATGGCATAAGATTATTGAATTAATCCACAATCCGCCCTTAATCCTGTAACGCGACTTGATGCGGCCATAGCTCCTAGCGAATTCTAATTTTCGATGCAAAAATATAAGAGGGCGAATACAACTCAGTTTTATGTATTCATGTTTTATATTTTATTACCATGCAAACCTAAGAATTGTCAAATTTAAAGGCATGTTTAGAAATAAATTTCAACTGTTGTATGTTATCACTGAGTTTACAGTTAGATAAGCTATTTCCAAATGCCTCCTGTCTCTAACACATTAATCATATCCATCATTTTCCTTTCTGTTTCTTAGCTGAAAGTTACCGAACTTCATTAAATATTCCTGGGTTACACTAGTAAAATCACGACGCAAGATGGAAGGGAAATTATTTAAGATTACCTATACATAAATAATAAATAAGGGCTTTGTAATTGGGACAATAAAGCTATTATCCAAGAGGGCTATCTTATTCTTATTGAGGTGTGCTGTGTTACATAGCCTGTTTAAGTACACTTTTTCTAATATGTTTTCTCCTTGCTTATGGATTTAAGTAAAAGCGATGGCCATCGAAAAATTCAAAAGAATGATTAATGCAAATTTGAAAGGCATAGAAAGGACATAAAATCTTGTCGTTGAACTGGTGTTCAAATAACGAATAGAGTCTTGTAACTACCGATAACATATGAAAAAAACATTACACAAATTATATTAGCAACTAATAATGAAAAAAGAAATAGATGATCAATTGTGGATATAAAGATAATGAAATCTCTGCTTAAAAGAAGTGGGTTGGCTTAGCTCTCGCAAATTAATCATGTTGACGCATGGACCTCGATGAGAGCACCTTGTTTAGTGTCCGATGTCAAAATAGCAAAGATAATTTCCAGTATCTTGGAAAGGAAAAACGACATCCTGGAGACGAAGCCAATCTAGAAACTCTCTAACCTGATTGATCAACCTAATGATAAAAACTATTTATTTCACATGTAAAGGCGGCATCTATGAACAAATATTAAGTAAATGACTAACCAAAAGGCCATACCATCTTAGTCTCCATATTTAAGAAATATTTAGTCACCACTCTCAAATACGTTAGCTTTGACTACATGAACATGTTGGAATAGCCTTCCAAAATGTCACCTCAGCAATGTGCATTAATGATGCGATACTTATAGTATTACTCTGAACTATGATCACATGGAAAAGAAAAAGTGGACGATATTGATGAGAAAGAGAAATTTACGATGAAGGTAGAGTAGAACGAGCAATTAACATTATTGGATTTAAAGGTCATTCATACCAAAAAGATTCCTAAGAAGTTGTTCCGAAATAAATCACCTGCATGAATACTCCTTTACTTCCAGTATCCCCATAATTACAGACTGAAGATTAGAATACTGAAGAGCAATTATGCTACTGATAGAGATTTCTGGGGGGAAATGACTTCGATATTTTAGAAAGCGGATATCGGAAAGGCACAATACAATCCATTGATGTAAGAAGCAGATGGGGGCAATGAAAAAACAAGAGGCAGAGTGAAAACAATTTATATGTCCATCTTCCCGCAAACGAGCCCGGAAACTGCCATCACTACAAACAAATTAAAAATGCGTACGATCCTGAAGGAAATGGTAACGCTAACTTGCCTACACAACATAAAAAAGTTAACAAAATGAAGTGCTCTGAAATGTTAGTGTGAACTGCAAAAGCTGTAAGAAGTCAATTGAGATGAAGGGAATGACACTAAGCAAGATTGAAGAATAACAGCCACTCTGCATAGCAATAAATACGGAAATATCGGAGATAGGCAGGCTCAAGAAAACGGGATATTAGGGAGACTGAGAATATTTTTTATAAAAGAAAGATAATGAACAGGTTAGTGGGAGAGGAAAGCGAGAATTCCGTTGACTATCAAGGCGGACTTATAAAATAAACAATGACAGTTAAAAGAAGGAGCTTAGACCATGTATAGCTATTCGACATCAAGAAGATAATCATAAGGGACAAATAAAAATCAGGAAAAGACGATTGCATTAAGAGGA